TGAAGCATGGTGGTGGCAGCATCATGCTTTGGGGCTGTTTTTCTTCAGCTGGAACTGGGGCCTTAGTCAAGGTGGAGGAAATTATGAACAGTTCCAAATACCAGTCAATATTGGCACAAAACCTTCAGGCTTCTGCTAGAAAGCTGAAGATGAAGAAGAACTTCATCTTTCAGCACGACAATGACCCAAAGCATACATCCAAATCAACAAAAGAATGGCTTCACCAGAAGAAGATTAAAGTTTTGGAATGGCCCAGCCAGAGCCCAGACCTGAATCCGACTGAAAATCTGTGGGGTGATCTGAAGAGGGCCGTGCACAGGAGATGCATTTTTGCAACGAAGAGTGGGCGAATATTGTCAAGATGTGCCATGCTGATAGACTCATACCCAAAAAGACTGAGTGCTGTGATAAAATCAAAAGGTCCTTCAACAAAATATTAGTGTGCACACTTATGCAACCACATTATTTAGTTTTTTTATTTTTACTCGCCCAACCTAAAAGATTTCAGTTTGTTTTTCAATTGAGTTGTACAGGTTATAGGTCACATTAAAGGTGGGAAAATTTCTGAAATGATTTATCTTCGTCTCATTTTTTTACATCACAGAAGCCTGGCATTTTAACAGGGGTGTGTAGACTTTTTATATCCACTGTAGCTAGACCACTAATTTAATTATTTTTATATGTATATATATATATATATATATATATATATATATATATATATATATATATATATATATATATATATATATAAAATAGAGCAGTTTTAAACATTGTCTATTTTTTTAACTAATACCACTGCACAACAAAGTTTTTGCTTCTTGAACACTGTTGGGTGTTTCTTATAGATTTTTGCCTGCTGATCACGAAAATCACATCCAAATTTGCCCATCACATACCGTTTCATTGAAATCTTCAGTTTTGTCATGTTTTTTCTTATATATGTGTCCAAAAATTTTTGTTTCTGTAAGAGACCTACGAACAATGTTTTGTGCAGTCTGGGCATGTCCAGGCATGAAATCAGGCCAGGTTGGAAGCTGTTCTGTGGAAGTATGCAGCCCGGGCATGCCTGGGCAGGCCGGAGCCAGCTTGACACTGTCTCAGCAGGCTATAAAAGTGGCTTGCATACACAGATGCTGCTCATTGGATTAATATAGACCTTATAGTGTGTACGTATTGTTTCAGAATATAGCATTGCCTCAGTAGCACTGTAACAAGTAAGTTAGATGTTATAATGGTTAGAGAGTCGGACTTGCAACCTGAAGGTCGTGGGTTCGAGCCTCAGGTCCGGCAGGGATTGTAGGTGAGGGGAGTGAATGACCAGCGCTCTCTTCCACCCTCAATACCATGACTGAGGTGAGACCCTTGAGCAAGGCACCGAACCCCCAACTGCTCCCCGGCGCCGCAGCAAAAAAGGCTGCCCACTGCTCCAGATGTGTGTTCACGGTGTGTGTGTGTGTGTGCACTTGGATGGGTTAAATGCAGAGCACAAATTCCGAGTATGAGCCACCATACTTGGCCACACATCACATCACTTCACTTCAAATCTCGGTGCTGTCAGTGACAAACACGGTGAAAGGTTTCACCAGGACATTGCTTCAATGGAAAAACGATATCAGGGCAACTGGAATCCGTCAATGCTAGCTGATTACTGTTGGGCACTGCAACGTGATGCACCGAACATTGAATACAAACGAAAATCAGGAGCAAAACACTTTTAATTATGTTGAACTTAATAGCGTATTAGAAACATAAACGCGATTAAATACGTTATTGCCGGTAAACAGTTAATTGTCTATTTCTCAGCGTTCCTACGTGATGCAGCAAAACCAAAACTATATTTGTGCATACCCACCAGGTACCTGTCACAATCAGCAAAAACTTTTCAGGAAGCAAAACTTTTCAAAAAAATTGTTGTGCAGTGTAGTTTCAGCCTGGTGTGGGCTTTTGTACTGTACTTGTTGTCCCACTCAAACCAAGCTAAAACCATGTATTGGCCAGTTTTTAAATGCTAAACATAAATATACAGATTATGTTAAACAACTTGTCAGAGGAACATTTTGGTGTTTTTTTTTTTTTTTTTTTTTAATTTCCCAGCCCCAGATGGCAGTGGCATCATCAGGGTTCAAACTTGTGATCTCCTGACAATAGGGCAAATGCTTTGTGCCACTCGGAAGCTGTTGTGTTCCTAACAAAGGAATATGCCTACATACATTATAGGCATGTAGCATACTGACCATCAAACCACTGGGCATTTAGCATACTAACCAAAATACAAACCCTTATAACAAAGGTCAAAACAATTAGTCTGCACAGAAGATATGAGATACTTATTGACATACAAGAAATTCAAGTTATCCTTTGTTTATAATGGAGCTACACAGAGACTGTTTAACATTTCCTGTAGCCTAGGTAATGAGCACAGCTCTACAGTGTGATCAGTGGAAGTTACATAATACGCATGTAACTTTAGTGTGATGATAATGCATACATTTGTGGACAATCCCATCTGTGTAATTTACAAAGATCTCTCTTACCCCATGCAAACTGGTCAAAGTCTTTACAGGCCAGAGAACTTATCATCTGAACTGCATTATAATCAAAGAATGTCTTATTTATGGTTTATTTAAATAAACCATCCTTCCTCAATGGACTCCCACAGAGACTTCAAATTCTTTCCATAAAATATAGATACGTATATATACACCCATTCTGCCATCAACTCTACAGACCGTAACTACATTAAGTCAAACAAGAAATTTGACCAATTTCTCACTGGACGTCCTTACCATCTGTGTAGATTATATTAACTTACCTCATTGGCGCAATGTTGATGGCCAAGAAAACCAGGACCACCATGAGACACACGGCTCGTCTCTTTGGAGCAGTTGCCTTCAGAATGGTGTTCTAAACACAAACAAAGAGGAGATACACAGCATGTCATTGTATTGTCTAAACACAGGCAATTGCTTTAAGATTGCTTTACACAGGAAGCCTGGCTTGGAATCACTTGGAACCTGCAGTAGTGGTCTAATCTATAAATATAGTTGATAAACTGTAAGTATAAAGTTCTGTTTGATTATTTCCATTCCTTTCTGCAATTTGTTGTTTATAAGTGTAGCTAGCTAGCTGTCACTTCCTTTTCCAGCTAGCGCCTTAGCTGCTTTTTGGTATGAAATGGCAGACACTGCTAATGGTGACTTGATTTTAGAAAGTTTGATGCTCATACTTATGAGAGGAAACTGAAAATTAAACAAGATCACAGACCAATGCCCAGGATTTTAATTCAAAAGTCAGGGTGCAAAAAAGGTCCTTGTAGCTGTCTTGGTACAGTAAAATTTATTGACTGTGTTTATTATTAGACCTGGATTATGTGGAGCGGTCGCCGTACAAGTACCTGTGAATGATCTATTACTATAGACACCAGGAACACCCCACAAAACCTGCCGATTTGGAGATGCTCTGACCCAGTCGTCTAGCCATCACAGTCTGGCCCTTGTCAAAGTCGCTCAGATCCTTACACTTGCCCATTTTTCCTGGTTCCAGCACATCAACTTCGAGAACTGACTGTTCACTTGCTGCCTAATATGTCCCACCTCGTGACAGGTGCCATTGTAATGAGATAATGAATTTTATTCACTTCACCTGTCAGTGGTTTTAATGTTATGGATGATCGGTGTATATCCAATATAATATTGCAGGACCTACTTCATTCATCAGACCCTCCAGTTGCTTTTTCAGTGTCCCATTTTCATTTTTCAGCTTCTCGTTCTCAGAGAGCGCAACCTTCAGACGGGCCTCCAAGGTCAGCAAGTACTCTTTCTTCTTCTTCCGTGATAGAGATGCAGACTCTCTGTTCTTGATCATCCGTTGCTGCCGTCGTGACACGCTGGACTGGAAGAGGGAAAAAATAAAATAAAACAGTTATTTAATTTTTCTGCCAATACAGATATGTTATTTGTTCCACACACACTGTATTAGGATTACATGATTTCTTTAAACACCTGCAATTTATAGTAAAATTAAGCTAAATCTACTGAAACCTAGATTCGAAAGTCACTTAAAGCCCTTGTTTTTTCTCCCTTCAAGTGTTCCACATAGTGGTGGGTTCTGATGGTTGCCTGGTTAACAGAGCTTGTGTTTAACATCTATTGCTAAGCATCATGCAGTTGTTATTCCCTCTGCATTCCAATCACTCTTTAGTGCTGCATCTGCCATTCTTAGCTGTGATTCTTGCTAATTCATGGCTCTTTATTTTGGAGTGTGTATTCCCACCACACAAATGTTTGTTTTTCTACACTTGAGTTGGATTTCCCCATAATGTATATTGTACCAGGTAGGCTAACCATGCCCAGTGATTGTGCAAACAATGTCTGAATCTCTTGGAAAACAAGTGTTGGTCTAGATACAATGCACTATTAATTGCTGTCTGCTATTCTTAGCTGGGATTCCCAATTTACAGCTCTTCATTTTGGACTTTTATTCCCTCCACACACAATTGTCTGCTTTTCTGCATTTGGGTTGTGACAGCCACCCTGAGCACGGCTGTGGCTCAAGTAGGGTTGGGATGGTACACCTCAACCCACATCATCAAATACACTTTTCCACATAGCACCTATGTCTGCAGGGTTTTCCATGCCAAAGTGCAAAACCTTTAATGACAGTTCTGCTGGAGGATTATGGCAGGTCCCAGTTATGAGAAGGGTACAAATTACAATGCTTTTGCCAGTCCCCAGCCTTTTTTGGGCTTCAACGGCTTGCTAATTTCAGATCAGACTCCAGTAAAGTCATTGCTCTGTCTCATGTTTAGTGCCTCATGGGCAGAGGTGCTATAGAAAATTGGACCCCACAGTTTAAAATGGAATATACTGTCTTATTCAAAAGAAGGACTGCAGGGTACATCCAATTATAAATTTAAAATTTTTTATTCAAGATATGGTCTGGTGCCACAAGTGTACTGGAGAGGCAGCGTGGCCCGCCATGTGTAAAGTACATCATCCAGCTTGAGTGAAAGGTGGGCCATCTTGCACTCAGGTCATTCTTCCCAGTTCTCAGATGTTGCCAAGTTCTGGTCCGCTCAGACAGCATTGCAACCATCAGGGCAGCATGAGAGAGAGTGGCTCTTGTCAACTTGCACAGAATCTTCTCAGGTGGGCCTCTCTCTCTCCAGACAGAACAGTGTTTTCATGTTTTTTATCTTGTAAGTCGCAGTGTTATTGTAAGTATTCGTCACGTCTATCTGTCTTTAAGCGTGTATACAGTCGTGAGTTTCTGCTCGACGTCGGTAGAACCACATTTTTAGAGTTAAACTCTGCACTCGCCGAAGAGCTGCGTGACCTCGGTCTGCTCCGGAGGTCTATTCCATCACCGACCCCCACTCCTGTATCTCGCCCACAGTGGATGCGCCACAAGCGGCGTGAGAGGAAGCAGAAGAGGGGTAAGCGCGGAGGTATCCGGGCTAGGCTAGCGGCTAACCCACACAAGCCAGCGATCCCCACCATCGTACTGGCCAACGTACGCTCTTTGGAAAATAAACTGGACTACATCCGTTTACTGCGCTCCACTCA